TTGAAAATTGCGACACAGGCTTAGCTTGAAGCGTGAAGGCAACGATGATTATAATATTGCAACTGCTATTGCAAGAAATATTCAGTATGTGAAACAAATTTAATTATATTATGAAAGATAAAACAAGATTATTTTTTAGGAATTTATACAAAAGACAGTTTATTATAAACGTACAAATTATAAATGTGCGAAAAATTGGTCGTATATTATACATCAAATAGGAAAGTTGTGACAAAATGAAGAAAAGTAATTATTAATTCACTGAATATACACGGAAAATCAAATTTTCGCTACCGTAACTAATCATGGTTTGTTAAAAATATTTGGCTCCATAACTATAAATTTTTAAACTACATGCAGCAAACGGTTTGCTATCGCACCTAACACAATAGGCACAGTAGCAAACTATTTAATTATTACAATTAAATATTAGCTGTCTACATTTTAATACTGAAATTTAGTTGCCACATCCAGTTTGTAGCTAAGGCAGCAACATTTTTCTTTCCGTGTGTACCTATAATAAATGTTACTTTTTCAATATAACAATACAAATTTTAGATTTGGTAAACCTGAGAGAGAATAGAAGTTACAAGAACACTAGCACACAACACATTTTGTATTTGCGTAAAATACGACTGCTGATAGGGCCATAACCCTATCGTTTTAAGAAATATTCGATGAATCTTGAAATAGTGTTCGTTGATCGTGTACATTTCACAAGAGAGAACTGCGATACAACTGCATCCATGGTAAAAACTGAATTATTTTTCTCGAATATTTTGTGAATTTCAAACGATCGATACGATGAGAACAGTACGGAGAAGATAATTATGCTATTGTACCATTGAAGCAATATAGTTCATGGTATAGGCAGATGTGAATTATTCAGAATTACCATAATTTGTAATTTACAATAATGTTTCTTAAACTTACATAGCTTGAATAATTTACTTGCGCAAACGCTGTCACGACTTTTATTTCTTAGTAATGGGAAAGGTTTCAGTTTCGTAAGTAATGTCATGCGGTGACTTTCTCGTCTTGTACAGAATTATACAGTGAAATGCAAGTCATAAGTTAAACAACTAGCACTAATTTGCCATTTGATATGAAGAAAGAAGATATATATATATACATGTAAGTGTATATGTATATATTTTTATGTTCCATATATTTGTTGTATTGCATTATATTTATTACATATTGAAAAGCTTATTCAGATACTACCATATAAATTAATAATGCGTGCAGATTAATAAAAATCACTAAACACAAAATATGTCAATATATATGATATATATAAAAATGTGCTTTGTAAGTTTTAACTGAATTTATATTAATATGTAAATATTTATAATAATAAGTAAATTATTTTACGTATTTTGTATGATATGTTAAAATACGTTTTATAATAAGTGTATATCTGTTAAACTGATAAAAATTTATAAGACATATATTATACATATATCATTTTCTTGGCGAAGGTGTTACAGAAGTACATAATAATTTGGTATTGCAAAGCTTTTAACATGTTATTGTGTAAATAATTTTATGTGAAGAGAAAGGTTTACTTACGAATTATTTATAGCTAGGCAAAGAACAATCGTACGTATTAACGATGTCCAATGAGTTTATTCTTAGGAACATAACATGACATACAACTCACTGATTCTTGCTTTTTGTGAACATGAAGTAATTAAACCGTATGCAATTTACTAAATGGCTAAACAGATAAATTAATTGGCGCGACCGTACATCACAGCAACATAGGACATCGCGGCATTCACAAGCTGGATAAGAATAAAAAAGTACATATTCCAGTAAAATTCTAATATTTTTTTATGCTTTGTCTTATCTCTTACCATGGCGAAAGTTTCTAATTTTGCTGTAAATATAAAACCGACAGTTAGACAGAATTCTTTGCCGGTTTTTTGCATTAAAAACAAAATTAATTTTTGTGATGACACAGGCATCAAGTACCATGATGTACCGTATCTACAAATTTAACAAGTGTCTTAGGTCATATAATAAACGCGAAAGAATTTATTGTGAAATAATGAAAAAAGGAATTTTAGCAGGAAAACAGATGGACTCTTACTGTGCAAATTTCTATTTAATTGTTCTTTATTTGCATTTCTTGTTCAGAAATAACAGGACGATATACGTATATATTTTTAATTTTTTAAAATTCTTGTGCAAGATAATTTAGATTGAAATTTTTACTTTTTGTAACATACAGAGCCATAAGTAATAGTTAAAAATATTTATTTTTGGATTATTGTATAATAGAAAAAACTGTCTACTTACGTTAAATTGAAAAGTTCGTTAGAATAATCTGTAATCTTTTGTCCAACATAATTTGCTATAAACATATAAACTAAATGACTCAATATAATAATAAGAGTAAGCACTATGTTGCTCAAACTCTTTGATATTGTTGCCGCTTCCACGAACTGTAGTGTGGGAAAAATAATTTAATGATATTAATATTGTAAATGTAATGATATCACTACAAAAAATTATGTACATTAATATCTTAAATATTCTACCTGAGATCTTTACTTACTCCGTACAAACTGATGCTTAGCGAAGTCACTCCAGTAAAAATAAGAATGCAATATGATACATTAAACGTAGATATAAAAGTATTGGAAAATCTTTAAAACAAAAAAGATATTAAACAAGAATCTTATATGCAGAAGTTATTATTCAATTAATGACAGATTATATTTGAGAAAATTTTATGAGTACTTTTTAAATATTATAGAGTTCTCGAAAAGAGAAACAGTTAAATATCCCTACAAAATACAAATCCGTAAGTGGGGCACGCGTAGATTATTTTAATCTTTTATCTTTATTAACGTCTTTATATTCGGAAATGTCGGAATCTGATAAGTAATAAGAGTACCTATAAATATTTTTTTGCAAAAAGAACATAATTATAAAAACGCTAATAAACTATAAGAAATTGCGATATACTAACTCCATAGCTCTACGGTGTATGATTACGGCATTCATTACCCTTTTGTAAATTGCGTATTCCTTCTCGGGATATGGTACATGCAAAACGCTATCCTCAATAAAATATTCTATTCGATTGCTGCAATACGTTTAAGTTTAATTCATGATCGTATCAAATTAAAGCGATGATACACTGAGAGAAAAAAAAATAGTCATTTTTGGAGCCAACCATATTTTGGTTTATGACAACCAATATTGTGGTTATGAGAACTATCACATTGTTAGGTCAACCATAATTTACGTTGGAGGAATTATAAAAAATATGGTTGGCTCCAAAAATGACTATTTTTTTTTGTAAAAATGACTATTTTTTCTCTCAGTGTACAATTTAATCAATACCTGGCAATTTTGAACATCCCGAAAATATGAAAGCAAAATACTAACAATTGTGACGCTGTCGCAAATACAATTGATGCATTTATTGCAAATAGTACGAGCTCATGCCACAGTCTAGTGTAAAAGTATTTATCCTGAGAAACAGAATATTTTGCCATAGAAAAAAGTTTACGTGGCCGTGGCTCGTCCAACGGCAAAACAATGTCAAGAATATTCGGAAGAAATTGGATGGTGATTAAACTGATTACTACCAAATCGATGAATACTAAAGTGAAAATAATAAGCCTTTATAAATTTATACGCAGCAACTAATTGCAATTACTTTATGTAATTATTAGTTTGTGTATTTTTTATGAATAGTATTTATTTCGTGAACTGTGTATTTTATTTCGATAAGCGAAAAATATTTTGTATTTGGACCTATTAAAGTAATCTACGTATGTTTTATACACCATAAAATTCCATTTTTGTTGAAAAGTAATCTTAATAGAATATGCATTCACAATGAATAGTAATATATAGAAAATCTTCATTTATATTATACATATATATAAATAGCATTTGCATTTGATCAAAATTTTAAAAATAAATTATATAGTAATGTGCTAGTTATGCGCTATCCAAATTCATAAAAAAATTTTTGCGTTTGTTCTGTTTAACACAAAAATGATTTTAATAGTGGAGCTAATTGTAAGTGGTCTGTTAATGAGTTCCACTGCATGTTGCTCACAAGCGATTCTGAAAACCAAATATGCAGGGTTTATGCGCTAATTATGCGCTCTCATATCAGAGTAATTTCGATTTTTGCCGCGCATAAAACATAGACAATTTATGTTCAATATATCAAGTTTTGTAATTTTGGATTAATTAAACGTGGATGTCATCATCCGTCACAAGTCTCTTAAAGAATACACCGCGAAAATCGAAATCACTTTCAGATACTAACGCTTAATTCGGATATGTATCGTGCATAAGAGAATATTAATTACTGTTTGAATCAAGAGCGAAGTCCTTCAGGGGATGCGGCGCATAAATCCGAATTGCTCTGATGTGAGAACGCATAATTAGTGCATAATTGGTGCATAAATCCTGTATATTTAGTTTTCAAAATCGCTTGTGATTAACATGTTGAAGGACTCACTGGCAGTCTATTTAGCCCTCCCATCATTAAAAATAGCTTTTCTAGCTAAACAAAACGAGTGCAGAAATTTTGTCTTATAAATTTGCAGAGTGCATAAATAGTACATTGTTACATAATTTATTCATTAAATTTTGATTATAAAGTGGGATGAATTAATT